GTGTGTGTGAGAGAGAGACAGAAAGAGATATGCTTCTGCCAGTATCTCACCCTGGCACATTGCTGCCTGTGGAGACAGTGGTGCTGAGCTCGTTGTCCAACTCAGCCAGAGCAGCATAGCGATCCTCTGTGCGGCTCCCTGTCTGTGACTGGGCGGGGACGGCACTAGACATTGACGGGATTGGCACACCTCCCCCTTTGGACAAATTAAACAAAAAAAAAGACACTTAAAGATCAAGTGCCACATGCATACACATGAACACTCAAATAATAAAGAGAGAAAGAAATAACCCAATGATCCTGGGGAAAGCTTGGTATTTTGTAACATACACAATGTGAGGTTCAGGGCTAAATGTCCACTGGGTGTCTCTCTTCAAAGCTTCTGAGATGTCTTTCTCAAATTAATCCAAACAGAAGGATGTATTGGTGTGTTTCCCAACATAGCTAACAACTTAGCATGTCTTAAGTGATCACTGTGCTGAGTGTTTTCAACAGTTGCTTAGCAACAACAGTAGTAAACATCTAAAGAGCATTGCTGGGCATAGAAAGGGCTTGCCCAGTGGGTAAGAAATAAATGAATGAATGAATGAATGAATGAATGAAAAAATACTGAGGTAAGCGTGAGAGTGTCTGTGGTCAGAGTTGAGGAAAGACAATGGTGGGGAGGGGGGTACCTGATGAAAAGGACTTTGAGGGGGGCGACGTGCTCAGATGGGATGGAATTGCAGTGTTTCCAAATGCCTCAAAGTTGGCAAAGTTGGTATTTGAATTACCCTGAGGTGCTGCAGCCGTACACAAGGAAAAATTAACACAGACAATGAATGTGGAAATAAAAACAGTGGCAGGGCAATGCATGGGATGATGACACACCAAAGGCTACTTACTGCTAAATGTCTTTATTAATCTGTATTAGTCTGAGCCAAGGGTTTGACCTTTGAGAGAAAGCTATCTTACCTGACTGGCTTGGAAAATGTGCAAAGTTGGCAAAGTTGGTAGAGCTGGAAGTTTGAGTGGGTGGGGCCGCAAAGATGTCTCCTCCCAGGTCTGAGAGCAAGTCAAACTTTTTCTCCTGAGCAGCGCTGTGGGCCTGGGAACGAGCTACCCCTGGAGACTGGGCAGCAGCCGGGGGTTAAGAGGGTTAAAACGTTTCTACAACCAAATTCAAAAACACAACATAGAAGGACAAAAGGAGGCTCTGTGTCTCATTTCTGTTACCTGGCGCAGTGGGGTCTTGTTGAGCTGCAGGGTCTTGAGGGGTTGGACTTCTGGGGTACTACCAGTGCTGCTGGCTGAGGAGCCGGACACAGAGGCTTGGACACTTACTGCTGCCCTTGCCTGGTCAGGAGGAACATACCTAGACATTCAGAAAAGAACCAAAACACAAACGTAGAGACATATTAAAAATGGAAAACAGAAACAGCTTTTATAAATGTGATCCCATCTGGGCACTTTTTATTCAACATAGTAAATCAAAAGAAATGATTATCAATTTGATTGATCTGATTAGGGTAAAGAAAGTATTTCAATCTTATCAAACGGATCTTCCTTCATGTGTTTAAAGGTTGTGCTCTCTTTCCACCAACACTGGAGTAAAAGAAGAAAGTGACACGTAGACATGATAAGTCCTGGACAATGATGAGCATGCTGTCAAACTAAAACATATGGTTGACCAAATCCATAACTGCTAAATGTTTTTTTGGCAGAGGTAGCACTTAACTCTCAGCACTCATTCATCTGCATTACAGCTGATAGTAACAAGCCAGCATTACTGAATGACTTGCAGATCTTTTGACATTGACTTTTTAACCATTCTTAAGTATTTACTACCTTTTTGGCTACATTATTTAAAACAGTATACAAGTATAAAATATTTCTTAATTCAGATTTATACACTATGTATCCACAGAGTGAAGAACTGAAATAAGAATGTTAGGAATGTTGGTTTGAGCCCAATCTAATCTTAACAACAGGTTTTATTCTTGTTAAACAAACAAACAAACAAATCTACAAGTTTATGTTACCATCTTTTCTTTTCGTATTTTTCCTGAAGGAACTCTTTTACTTTCTGTGGTTCTCGGAAATCTGGAACAACTGATGTCCTGTCGTCATAGAGGCCCAACCAGATGTGTTTACAGACCTACAGGGGGGCAGAGGAATGAGGAGAGTGGGAGGTAAGGAAGGGATCGGGGTGGGGGTGGTGGCAAAGAGAGAGAGGTGAGAGAAAGTAAATGGAAGGGGGAGGGGATGACGAGAAATGGGAGAAAAAGTAGGGAGAGAGGAATGCCAATAAAGTTGAGTAAGCAGGATTCAGAAAAATGCTGAAAAGATGAACCACTTCTGAATGGAAACCAGATAGCCGTGACTATAAAAACCCTGTTTAACAATGGGAAACGGGGTGCTGAGTCACAAGTGTGTGTGCTTGGTACCTCATTGCTGTGTTTCTGTAGGAACTCAATTTCCTGATGTGTGAATGTGGTCATAGAGATGGACTTCACTCTGTGTGGGGGATTCAGTCCTCGCCTGTGGGTATAAGGTATATGTTAGCTTAAGAACAAGAGAACAGGATGCAGCACAATGCCGCTTATGTGATATGAAGAAGCAAACGAAACCCCCGACAGCAGATGCATTGATACGTTTTACTTCTCAGAGTGAATACATGCATGAGTGTGTTACGTTTCGGACATGGGTGTAACTGAAAACCAACAAAACATCAGAGGTAAGGATTTACTGCCAGCCAGACGTTGTTCTTAGACTTGGTTTAAATCTCAAGGAATGTGATTGTAAAAGTAATTGAATTCAGAATAAGCGCACAAGTTAACTCAGACTTGTGCTCACAGTTATTAGGGAATTATAGCAGATGCCATCCCTACTATATATGGTATTTTTGACATGGATCCACAGAAAAAGTACACGTGTTAAAGTTAAAACTTATACAAATTGATCTAAACCAAGTACATATATAAAAACACAGGATAGTTAATGCTTTAACTATTTGCATTGGTGACCTACAAATATCAGCTGTAGCCAGTTGTTTTATTCAAGAAGTCAAATGATGAGCCAAACTGAAATGGCCTGTGTGTAATCAAGGTGTGACAAGTGACACACGATCACACGGTGACAAACTGGAAGGCGCAACAGCTTGTTGCTCAGTTTCATGGCGAAAGATAAATCCTTAAGACAAAGAAGCTTTACACACAAATCTGTGACACGATTAAATTAAATTAAAGATTAAATTACTACTTGTTTATAGATCACTAAATCACGTTTGTGACAAGGGGGCTTATATCCCTCTATACCCCCCACCATTAGACCCTGAACGCTGATGAGTGCAGTAAAAATGTAAAATGGCTGTGAGTCCGCCTCAAGCAGGCTGTTCTCAAAATCTGAGGGTCTGTGCAAGAGGGACAGCAGCGAGGGAGGGCACCGAGAGGCCTATGGCAACTTCAGAGGAGCTTCTATTGCAAAGATGGGGGACAGTACAACTGTTGCTTCACCAGTTGCGGCTTTATGGCAGATTGGCAAAGACAAAACCACTGTTGACACATCGGGGCCAGCGTTTAACATAATGTGGGAGACTCTGAAGCAAAGTGGAATAAGGTTCTATGGTCTGATGAGGCCAAAACACACCACCATGAAGGCTTGTGATAGCAGCCCAAGCACCATGCTCCGGGGATGCTCCTGCACGCCATGGGAGGCTTGTGGAGGCTGAGGGTAACGTGAAGTCTCAAAACACATCCTGGACCAAAACCTGATGCAATCTGTAACGGGACTGGCTTAAAACCAACTATGTTAATGTACTGGTTTGGTCAAGTCAGAGTCCAGACAACCATCCACAGCTGAATTTATGGCAGGATTTGAAAACTGCTGCTCACTGCAACTTGACACAGCGTTCACAGTGTTGCAAAGAAAGAAAGAATGAGGAAAAACTGATGTGTAAAGCTGATACAGACCTGACCACATAAACTCAAGGCTGTACTATTATACTTTACTATTATACTAACTATAGTGTGCTCATATTTGTACTCAATTTAGATGATATGGTAAAAGTTAAACATTTAAATGTCACTTCTTATTGATCTGTGTAAAAAAAAAAAAAAGGCCCGATTAATCCACTGTGTGTTTAAATGCTCCTTTTAATGTCCCATGCACTCAAACATTAAGTTTAAGCAATTTCCGCCAATATGAATTTTCCTAACTGGGCTGTGCCTATGTACACAGACTCCAGACACACACATGATCTTAATCTGTGTCAGGGTACTGACTAACTAGCATAACCATACAGAATCAATACCAAACGTATCTAGATCCCTGACAGAGGAGTTACACACACACACACACACACACACTGGGGTAGATGTAGGTTTACATGTTCCCTGACAGAACACTAGTAACAATACTGAGCAGCCAGCAATTACAGAAATGTGTTTGCCTCTGTGATGAGGGCAACTGGCCGGATGGGCGTGGGCCAGTTCACAGTTGCAATGAATCAGAATCATTGCCTGGGAAATCCTGGTTATGACTTCAAAACCATCTTTTTTTAGAGTTTTTTGAGGAACGAAGAAGTGATTTCAATCAGACAGGCAGCTAAGGACACCCACTGCCTGATTTATCTTTTCAGATATCTTCACAAGTTGAGAGACCCACCTGCAGCTTCTGCTTGATCAAGATGTGTGGTGTGGTGTGTGTGTGTGTGTGTGTTGTGTGTTAAAGTTCAACTTAGAGGAGAGTTCCCGCAGTGATGCGTGCTGTTTTTAAACAAGATGCTCAAAATTTGACTGATTAGTAATGTGACCCTAACAGTACGGCGAGCTTGAACCTTGACCACACAGCAATAAATCCATGAGACCCCGCGCCCCTCCTCTCCTCTCACGACCACACCACCGACGACACACACATCTATATGAGGCCTATCTTATCTGCACTGAAGGAGAGGAACTGTAAACGAAACCAGAGAGTGCCGACACCCACCCGCCCCAACCCAGCGGCCTCGGGAAGAACCGAGGGTAAGTTCCTAACGTTAACCTGTCATGACTTTAACGCTATTGCTATTACTTACTTAAACGGTTTACTCTCTTGACTCTCGACTAGTCTGGTACTTCTGTGTGTTGTACTATTCTGTAACCACAAGATTGACACTTTCCCCCCCCGCAGGGACACTACAAGAATGCCAGGAGCAAGGTGGTAACAGACGAAAGGAGCCACCCTGTCATGTTGACATAGGTCGGGCCGCGCTGGTCGCAGTCGAAGCATTTCCTATTCGCGGGCAGGCTAGTCATTTCCCGGAGCATCTTCAGATGGGTCTCCTCCTGCTTTCGCTTCGCACTCGTCGCCATTGCCGGAGGAAAAACAAGATCGGGCTGGTGTCACCGGGGAGGAAAGTTTGGTCAAAGGGACCCGGGGCAGGGCGGGTGTCTTCAGGGCAGAGTTGTGGCGTGCGACGGCGGTGGCCGGGCAGACACCTTGCCGAGAGGTCTAGCAGGGAGACTGGGCGACTGGCGGACTACTTCTTCTACACGGAGAGAGTGAGAGACAGAGCCGCTTCACAGGCACCGGCGCCATCTGTTGGTTTGGAAGGATGCCTGTGTCTTAATGGAGAGTGACTGAGTGATTTGGAAACATTTCAGGAAGGATAGCTATAAATGAGTCACACACACGTCACCACAAGAACAACTCACAAACAAACAAATGTACACATTATTTTTATTTTAAAAAAGGCCAACGGCATAACAAATAAAAAAACAAATATATAGCATACAGTGTTTTGTGTGTATGCTGTATTTAAGTACTTCAAAATAGTATGATAAAAAAATATGTTGGATTTAAACATCTCACTTTCTCTTTTTAGACATTATCCCCTTTTGGTGCATGTTTTAAAATTCAAGTCTATGGTCCCTGCCTTGGCACCCTTTACACAACAGGTGCTCATTGAATATCTAGAGATGAGCCATCCCCTGTCTCCAGTTTTGGCTTGAGGAGAAGCCTCCCTGACAGTGATTGCACTGTTCTCTTTCATAGCCGTCCGCCGCCTGCTCCGCCTTTCTTGGTGGCTCTGCAGGAAACTGCTGGATACACTGAAGCTCTGCTCAGTAGATTGCATTGTTGCTGTTAAGACAAGGTCAGATTATTGCATCGTCAGTGGGGGTGGTGACCCCATGCGGAGGCAAAGACTTAAAATCAGTGTCTTGATAGATGTCTGTTTTGGCTTCTTCTAATTTCGGCTGTGACTGGAAGGCATTTGGGAGAAGAGCAGTCCTCTGCCAATGCAAAGCCGCTGCCTCAGTATTGTTTTGCTTTGTTTTTATATGCATAATTTTAAATAAAGAATGTTAAAAAAAAAAAAAAAAGCTGCTGCCTCTGAAACTGTTAAAATTAGTCTATTATTAATGAAAATAAAATAAACTAAAAACTAATGGAATTCCATTTAGTCACTGACATGAATTACAAAGATGACTGGCTTTCTCATGAGCACAGGAATGAACCATGATAGTTTGTTAGAACAAAATCTTCTCATGGCAGAAACTCAAGATCAGGATTGCACATATGTTAATGTTTTTGTCTTTTTTTGCATTATTCAGCAGGCAGACAGGGTTCAAAACAACTTCTTTCCAACTTCCAAGCAGCAGATGGTGGCGGCCTTATTTAGACTTTGGTCTCTTTCTGTTGCTGCTTAAAGAGTCTGCAGCTTCCACGGGCTAGAGAAAGAAAGAGAGAACTATTCAGACAAATCAACACACCACTTTTGGGACTACTGATCACTTCGCCTGACTGGAGTAGAAATCATGACTGATCCAACTGTTTTAAAGGTTCCATATGTAACTTTGAGAAATCCATTGTTAATAGTGACACCAGTGGCCTAAATCATATTAATCATATTTAGAATAACATTTCTATCTGCAATGTTCCTATATTTTATTTGGGAATAAGTCCATGCTACTAGCTCGATGTTTACGAATCACTCCAACAGTCAACACTAACCAGCAGCCACCAGTTACGGCCATGTTGCACAGTGCTGACACTGTAGGGAAGTGGAGAGAGAAGCCACTTGGACCATCACATCCTTTGAATTTTTGCGGAAAATCTGACCTTCATATCTACATAGGAACGCATTAACAATCAGTCCACAGGCTACCGAGAAAGTTAAGGAAGGTCTGATTTTTTAAGTTACATTACCACCCATTCACACATCGACAATAAAAAGTGATTAATACATAAAAATAATATGTAAAAGAATCTTACACCTGGAACCTTTCAATAGTTTAAGTTGATTTAATCATTATAGCATTTCATCTAATAAATAAGCTGTATTATTTTTGCTGATGATTATTATGTTATGCTCACCTCATTCCTCTTTCTGGTAACTCTAAAGTAGTCCTCCATGCAAGTCTGCCTGCTGCGTCCCGCTGCCTTGTCCTTTTCCCTCTCCTCCCGCTTACATTCCCGTATCTGACGGAACTTCTCCATTCGATGACGGACCCTGTTCTCTCTAAAAACACACCAGCATGAATACAGACATACTGTCTTTGAGAGAGACAGAGAAGCATGTAAAGTGAAAGCTGAATGAAAATATAAAAATGAATACGTACTTAACATGTTTGCTGTGACTGAGGAACACAACCAAGGCTTCTTCATCTGGCTCAGTCCAGGTGAGTTCAGGAGCTACAGTTTGTGATGCATCCAAGAATATCTTCCGTGCTTCTTTATACTTCCAGGAAAGTGGCACAGGATGGGTCTGAAGGGCAGTAGATACTAGTGTCTTATTAGATCTTACTTTTTGTTTTCTAAAGCAGAAAAACAAAGACCCCCAGTTGCCCACCAGCTTACCTTTCTGTTGACATGCAAAACCACTTCCTCGATAGTACGGTGCTTCTGGATCAGTGTCAGAGCTCTCTTAGGACCCAACCCGGCTATCTTGTCACAGTAGTCACAGCCCAACAAAATACATAGGTCAACAAACTGGTGGAAGAACAGTGGAAAAGAAGAGTTTGAGTACAGACAAATGGTATTACAAATTATCATATTTTATGCTTTCAAAGACATTTTAATGGAAGTTGCAGTCTAACCTCCTCGTGACTGATCTGGAGTTTCTCCAACAGCTTGGGTAAAGAATATTCAACAACTTCACTGTGAGGAAGAAAAAGAGCACAGATCAGTTTAGAAACCCCCAGTCCTTCATTCAATTGAAGTGATTGATGGAAATTAAGTGACATGACTCGTAGTGGCATCAATACATGAACATTAGTTGAGGCTACAAGTCCTATCATCAGTGATCCATCAGCCAGTCTGTGGCTTGTCAGGCAGAAGTTAGCAGCAGCAAACAGATTTTATTTCAAGCATTGGACCTCACTCCAAGAGAACACGGTGGAGCTCATTAGCATGTCTCACTGCCATTCAAAGTTCTTTCCCTCATACACTAATGGACTGTATGAGGCTCATTTTTGTCCAACAATAAGAAGCACCTCGTTCATCTTCTTCTGAGAGTTTACTGTGGCTCACAATACCTCTGTTTCCTTGGAAAAAGTATTCGCTGCTGTTAATTTTTGACTGGCAAGCCACCAGCTGACAGGATGATGTCTGTCACAGCCTCAGGTGATGTCAGCGCATTAATATCACTAAACACTAATTTATGTCAAAAACTCTAATACAATCCTTTAAGCAACGCACAGCTACATTTACACAGTTTGTACCTGTCCTTCTTGGCATTCAGCTGGCGAATGAGAATATTGGCTCCAAACGGCAACGTGTCCATGTCCTCTGAAGCCACAGCATCCACTGTCCCCTCTCTCACCAGCCGCGCACACAGTGCCTCAGCGTCCCCTGGAGCCTTGAGCACAAGACAAGAGAGAAAGAGAGGGAGGTAAAAATTAAAATGCTTGAAGTGAGGGAAGGAAATAAAGAGAAAACGAGAGAAAAAATATGTTTAGCAGGTCATACCTGGATGACAGGTACACCCAGAAGCTTCAGGAGGTGGAGGCAGTCTTTGGTCTGGGATGATGCTGCATGGGGCACAAAAGAGTCGAGATTCACTTGAAAAAACTTTACATTTAGAGAATATTGTTCAATAACTAATTAAACTTCAAAACCCCTGCTTGTGGTTATCAGTCAGTATAGATATACCTGCGCCTGTGCGGTTGGGGGAGCTCCAACCAGCTGCCTCAGCTCGCTTCTTAAGCTGCAGGAAAAACAGGAGCTTGCATCAGCACGGGTGGCAATCATCTGTATCACACAACAGGTGTGTGCTGTCTCTATCATATCATAGTGGCCCATTAAAAGTCACTTTAACTTCCTTGTTTTAGATACAAAGGTCTCTGAACCGTAACTGTCCTAGTCATACCAGGAAGACATGTTTAGTCTCAAGTTGAGTCAAAAGATACAGACTCCAATGTGTCACTTACAACAGCTGTCTTTTCGCCTGGTGGCTTTCCGTCAAACACAAAGACTGGCTTTATGTCATGTTCCAGGAAGGTGAGCGTGCGGAAGAAGAGACCTGTCAGGGGGCTACAGAGAAGAAATAAAGGATATTTCACACAAATACACTGTTCAAAGAATAGAAACCCCTGCACATTGTCAAACTTATTTACAATTAAATAATTTACATAAACTTATTTTTAATTATGGTGGAGAGGTCTTGACTCAACTTTATGGCTGTTGTTTGTGGTGGTGCTGTTGAAAAGCATTATTCTGTAAGGTGTTTCTAATATTAGATGATAAAGATATTAGAAACATTGTACAATCTAATAAAGTTCAATACAAAAGCACCACAAAGTGCAGCCTCAAAAAGTACAAACTGTATCAACACACAAACAACTAAAGCAGTATGAGTGTTTTACACGAACATACTCAAAGTGTTTTCAGCAAAGTTACTGCAGGGATAAAATATTGCACCAATTCATCTTACAGGTGTTTCTGTTTTCTGGACTCGCTGTACTGGGTGGAAACGGATAATCCATATATATTATTCACTAGTCGGAGAAAAGAAGTGGAACACATGGGTAAATAAATCTACTATTGCTCCACTTTAGTGAGACAGAGTGGGCCACTGATCATCAAGGGGCTCACCTCAGTAAAGGCGTCACTGAACGGAACTGGTTCACAACAATAGAGGTATCCAGGGCGATTACTTTTCCTGTGGAGTAACACAGCATCAGCATCAGCATCAGCAGCATGTAACAGAGTTTCTATGCAGTCATAATTGGCTTGTCTATCACATCCCATACTTTTACAGACATCTTAGGTCAAATTTAATTGACTGCAACCACTGAAGAAATGAGTCTATGAAGTATGGTTGCTTCTTTGTAACCAATATATTCCACTATTTTAAACGATGTTACTGTACTTTACTTTACATGGCAGTAGTTTCTGAATGAAGAACTGACTTTAAAAGACATTGATTATAACACGTTTCTAACAGCAGTGTTAATAAGTCAGTAATAGAGAACTGTGTCCTTTCTTATGAGTCCTTTAAATATACAAAACCAGCAGGAAACAGTGAGACCAGTTGATATACAGTGTAATTAAATACTGTTTAATGTAGCTTGAATGTCAATGTAATACTGAGAGATTAACAAGAGACTTTAGAAAGGAAAGTGTCAACAAATAGAAATCCTCCAGCTACCTCACAATCACCTCGACATTGTACTACAGAGTAAACGTCGTTAGTGTGCATCATTGTACTTCAGTTGCTACTTAGTGGTAATATATCTATACTTCACCCTTACTTTGTGTAGTAATACTAAATTAATATTTAATATAACTACTGTAAGTTAGTCAGGTGGCTGTATGCTAACCATGGATGTGATGCTAGCGTTAGCGATTAGCATCCGCCTTTCACCATGACCAACATTAACCGTGTCTATACAAGAACAGGAGACACTGGGGGAGGATCGGGAATATTACCGGTGTAGTCACTGATATCCTTATAAGAAATGGCTCCAGGAGCATCTGAACGGATCACATCTGCCAGTTTAGTGATCCCCATTGTGCAGCCAGCACCACTGGTTGTCTATTAATACCTCCGCTAGAAGACGAGACACAAACAGCTCAGGGTAGGTTTGATCCAGACTAGCTGCTGTTTGTGGAGGATGTCTGCTCGTACAAATGGACTTGAGTTATATTAAATAATACCTCTGTATACAACGATGGCCAGTTAAACTCCCATGTACCTCTTCCTGGTGCTGACAGAGCAGTAGGGGTCAGCATTGCACTGAGAGCATTGAGACAGGGCTCTGGAGGAAACATCCATCATTTATTACAGCAAAAAGAATAACAATGAATGTATTCATATATTACAAAGGAAGTAAAATATTTAACTTAAAACTCCAGCTTTAAGTAAAACATACAGCGCTTAACAGAAAAGAAAGGTCACTGCAACATTTTGTTAATGCCCCTGCATTATATGTGATTCACAAACCTCCATGAAATACACGATCATCTCAAATATTTCAAAGATACATAGCCATCTATTACACATGATCATACAGACAGTAGTTTCAGGATTTATATGACACCATATGATGAATAAAACCACAGAGTCCATGCTTGTAGTCTTATAAGTAACATAAGTGGTTAAATTCTCTGAAGAAAACAAAAAAACAAGCTTGAATGATAGAAACAGTAGTTGGAAAACATTATCACTTCACTGGACCTTAGTATCCTACCCTTTGTATTTTTATTGCCACTTCAAGCTAATAAGAGAATCCTGAGGCAAGTCACTGCCAAAGAGGTAAAAAAAAAAAAAAAAAAAGTACATTAAGGACAAACTACAACATTTCGACAATAGGCTATTCAAGTAGAGTACATAAGTCTTTTGGGTAATGCAGAACTGAGAAGGACATTCGGGGTAAATGTTATGGCATCTCTAGAATTAATCATCTTACTTTGACACTTTAAGAATGGTCGTTTTTGACAAAACTGGTGAATCTCATTTTTAAACAGACAAGACAGGTCAGGTCTAAGGCTTGGTCCTGTAAAGTTCCAGCTCTGGGTTAGCTTCCCAAAACATGTGTCGCTTAAGTAAATCCTTGTTTCACGTCTAATCATTCTTCTCCTGAATCTAAAAAAAAAATCTAATTTACAAACGTAGTATATTCTCCCAAGGAATCACTTTAAAATCTGTTGGTGCCATATCAAGGATTTATCAAGCTTAAAAGTGCAATCAGTAATATTTTCTTAGCTATTTGTTTGCTACTTTAAACCAGACCTCATGTTCTATATTATCTGTATCGCTGTAAACTCACGTTAACGTTGGTCTAGTATTTAAAAGGTGGAAAAAGCTCAAACTTTAAAAGTGATTCAGAGATTATAACTGTTGGACAGCAATTCATGTCGTAGCTAGTTTTAGCCAAATAAGGTAACTTGTGTATGTTGCTGCTGTAACATAAACCTCAGCTCACCACATCAGAGCAGTTGCTAGTATTTTGTAAAACTCCAGCTGTAGTGTCATTGTGCTTTGTCTTGCCAAAGGAATGAAATACATAGATGAATTCTTGAATGTGAGATATGCTTTATCTCTAGTTCTCTAGTTTGAATGTAAGATTTAGTAACATCTAGTTGACTAACCAAACATTACCAAACTTTTGTAAACATGGGTTATGTTTTACTGCCTCATGTCACACCTTGACATTTGTGAAATCCCAATATAGAATTTGCTGTAGAAACACTGAAGATTGTAGTGGATGACTTTTCCCATTGCTGTTGTAGTTTCCTGTGGTTGCATTCAGATGCAGTAATGACTCACTGTATTTAAATGGTTGCACCATGAACAAGGAATTGCTTTGGCTTCCAGTGTTTTGGGAGACTCTGTCTTGTCCCATCTTAGCGACGGAACCAGATCCAGGTGTTAATAAGCCAGAATGCCACAGTAGCAGAATACAGGATGACCTCTCGCTTGGAGCGTTCTTTGTTTTCTTCCTCCAGCAGCTGCAGACGCCGGTTCAACTTCACAATCTGAATGAACACATGAATACAACACTTTAAAAAGGTGAGAATTTACTTGTGCTGGGAAAGATCTATGTAGTTTAGCATATACATAGGATTACCACGATCTGGTTTTCAATTTAAGTTTGAAGTCCTTTTTGACTTTTTTCCTGGGATTATCCAATTTGAAATAACAACATAAAACCACACAGCAGCAACAGTTCAACAATACTGTTAGTTTCAAGGAAAATCTTTCAGTACTTTCTTACTGGCTCAGGATGTGATTAATGCCTGTATTTGTACTTGTATATGTTGTGTTTTTATCCATTGAGTCTTTTGTTTGTTTACGGCTGAGTATCTGAAAATGCCAGTTGTAACTTATCCCTGGCTGTGCTGCTCTGCCAGCATCCTTCGTAAGCAGCCTGATCTGGGCTACATAAGCTTGTTGTGTCAGCATGCCTTCACTGTACACTGTAGCACTTATACACTGCAAACCTAAAAATAGGAGAAAACACTCACAACAGGTACAATATTTGGACCAGAACAGTGGAGAATCATGTAAATCAATGACACGGGCAGTCATTTAGGCGTGTGAGACATATTACCTGTCGTCGTAGTGAGGAGGCGTCCACTAAGCCAGACTCATCAGGGTTTATATCCAGGGCCAAGTCCAGGTGTGACCTGAGGAGATCAACATATCTCAATTTAGAATAACAGTAACAGAGACTGTCTGCATAACTACAGAAACTATCCTGAAAGGGGAACCTTTTCTATTTCCACTGGCGACATTATGGTGACATTAAGTGACTACATTGTATAATTTCTCCTCAGCATTGCCAACGCAAATAAGGTTGACAGATAAGGGAACAATCCTGATGATTTCAGGATTCATCAGGATTCTTCCAGGTACCTCCACTAGAACTTTGGCTCAGCACAGGCTGAGGCATTATGTAAGTTGAGGCTGTGAAACAACATTAATTGCCTTATGATAAATTATAAAATGAACAAAATAAAGACACCATCCAAGCACGATTTTCTTCACTTTACTACCTTGTGCATTTCATTAAGAACTTTTTCTCCTGTTTTGTTTTCTAAGCACTGCTTTTCTCATTGTTTCAGAAACTTCTACACTCCATAACTTCCTCTTCCAATACAGTTTGTCATCTGAGGACCTCAGGTTTATTTTCTAAAAAATAATTGAATAATTTCATTTATTCTAGCTGTTTGTTCTAAGAATCTTTGTTAACACAGTGACTTTTTCAGGGACAAAGAAGAGAAATCACCTGCGGTGGCTGTCATCCAGCACTTCGAGGACCTGCTGGTATGCCCGGCGTGTTGTTGACTGGATATAAGACAGGAACCCCGCAGCTGTAAACAGGTTGATGTTTGCATCCTCAGGGGAACAGAGAGGGGGACACAAGCGGACTGGGGGGGCAGAAGGGGAAGGGGTTACACTGGCAGAGAGGTAAATGGGGAGAAACAGTAAAAAAAAATAAGATTTTTTTTAAACAAACGAAGAGTGAAATAATAATAATAGTAATAGTAATAATAGAGAACAAATTCAGAATGGAACGGCAGCAGCAGTGAAGCAGTGTTGTCACAGGTGTCCCGACCTTCAATGTGTGCTTACCTTAAATCACCTCTGACAATCTGACTGCTGTGGCGGCCAGATATGTTCTCACTCGCACTGCGTTCCCTTCGAGACCGAGCATGAAAGTGGACCTATGAATGATACAAACATTTGATGTTAGGCTTACATTAAGTTAAAGCTTACGTGTTATGTTGTTTTTCTCCCTTTCAAAGCAAGCTACTGTAGTTTACCTGGACGACACATTAATATTAGATTGATTACAGCCACATTTTACGGTGGCCCAGAGGTGTCAGGCCGAATACAAAAGCCACAACACAAATACAAA